ATTATAGCAGTCTCTGTGTTGCCAATGGTGGTATTGCTGCTTGCGACCTTCTACCTTTGGGCTCAGGTTAGCCCTTAGGGAGGAACCATAAGTGATCCCTCTCAGTTCTGGGATGATTCTCGTTGGGCCTTCACCACAACGGAGTGTTTCAGGGATGGTGACAATGTTATGGTCCGAGGCAGATAGAGATCAAACACCTCTGCTTGGTGTATCCCAGATCACCAGTGCTGAGCCTTCACCACAGCATGGTGTGGGAACCCACCGCAGTTGTGAATGATCCCCATGCCTTTTCTCTCTGTGGCGCTACGCTGTCCTCATAGACACAGACCGGAACACTGACCGCCCACCCTCAGGGTGCAGTGGTTTTTTTTTCCTTTTTAGAACCTTTGGCAGGTAAACTGTAAACTTGTGTAGGGTGGTGTGCACAATTCTGAGCTGGGTGCAAAGGACTCTGAATATGAGTCAGCAGTGTGATGCTGTTGCAAAGAAAGCAAACATGATTCTGGGATGCATTAACAGGTGTGTTGTGAGCAAGACACGAGAAGTCATTCTTCCGCTCTACTCTGTGCTGGTTAGGCCTCAATTGGAGTATTGTGTTCAATTCTGGGCACCGCATTTCAAGAAAGATGTTGTTACCCTTGGAACGTGGTAACGATTAATTTAATTATTTCTAATTAGCATACAGGCTGACTTATAAGATATTAAATACAGGACTATGTGTTCATTTTTTTTAATTGTATCCTTTGGTATATATGGTTGTGACAATTTTCTTCCACTATTTGATCTGAGGAAGTGGGTCTGGCCCACGAAAGCTCATCACCTAATAAACCATCTTGTTAGTCTTTAAAGTGCTACATAGTCCTGTATTTTGTTTCAGCTACACCAGACTAACATGGCTACATTTTTATCATTATAAGATATTAAAGTTCCAAGTCCCAGAAGACGGGATCGCCTGAGGCCGTATCTATTCACCGGCTGGTAATTCCCAATAAGAGGCAGAGACAATGTTTAGGGCCAAACCATATATTGTAAGGATTTAAAAATTGTTAACAGGTAAATAAACAACTACGTCCACCCTATCCCCGAAGAAAGATGAAAGACAGTCCCCGATACAAAATGTATACATTACACACTTCACAGGTATGTAAACTATGAAGGTGCTCACGACCTCAACGGTTTGGCTCAGCCAGAGCCGCTCCGGAGGAATGGTGAGGCGTTCCCTTGCAGTTCCTGGTCTCTCCAATCACTGGTCTGCGATACTAGGTCACTGAGGGTGAAGTGAAGACCTTGCGCTCTCCGATCACGGTCCCGGAAATCTCCGGCAGTGTCCTTGCCACAGCTATACTACACCCGAGAATTCTTTATGAGTGGTAAGCCGCCAGCCAATGTGAATAACACATACCCTATTCAATCATTCCCTCACTCATACAAACGAACGGGAAGACAGACAAACACTCACACCTATGGATCTACGAACAAACTCTAGGAGAATGGACGAAGAACATGAGCAAAGGGGTGAGGAGGCTTTTATAGACTCTTAGGTGGGAAAGTTCTACAGAGAGTGGGGTGCACACTTTTTGGTATCGGGTGCACATATTTTAGTGCCTAGTGCAGCATTTTAGGGTAGAGTGCACAGATTTAGGGCCGTATGCACAGCCAATTAGAACCGTGTGCAAAGGTAAATTCAAAAGAGGCGGGAATTCCGAAAGGTGGTTGGTGACTTAGTTCGGACTAATTTACTTAGTCCGGACCAGCCCTAAGCACTAAGTTTCTAGTTCAAAATAATCTCTCCTGATTCGAACTATCTCATGGACTTACTTAAGTTCGGCTACTTAACTCGAACTAATCTGGTTCTCCTTCACCTCCTTTTATCATAGTACATTTATTAATTAACATTTCCTTAACCAATTTGCTTAATACCAAACTGAGGTAACAATGTGGAGAAATTGGAGAGGGACCAGAGAAGAGCAACGAGAATGATTAAAGGTCTAGAGTACATGACCTATGAGGGAAGGCTGAAGGAATTGGGTTTGTTTAGTTTAGAAAAGAGAAGATTGAGAGGGGACATGATAGCAGTTTTTAGATATCTAAAAGGGTGTCATAAGGACGAGGGAGAAAACTTGTTCATCTTGGCCTCTGGGGATAGAACAAGAAGCAATGGGCTTAAACTGCAGCATGGGAAGTTTAGGCTGGACATTAGGAAAAAGTTCCTAATTGTCAGAGTGGTTAAACACTGGAATAAATTGCCCAGGGAGGTTGTGGATTCTCCATCTGTGGAGATATTTAAGAGTAGGTTAGATAAATGTCTATCAGGGATGGTCTAGACAGTATTTGGTCCTGCCATGAGGCAGGGGACTGGACTCGATGATCTCTCGAGGTCCCTTCCAGTCCTAGTATTCTATGATTCTATGATCTGCGTGCCTGGTGCAATTTTGGTACTGAGTGAAGACACTCAAGGTGGGAAAAGTTTAACTGACTTTCCAGAAACTCCATTTTGTTTTCCTAAACTTCATTTTGTTTTCAGTTACTGATGGCATCAACTGCTTCTTTAAGTGTGCACCTTACCTACATCCTATTTACAACAATGACATTACATTATAAACAAATCAACATTATAACACCACTCTAACAATTGCCTCCTCAGGGCCTGATCCTTCAACGCGGCCTTGACTGCGGTCACCACAACAAGACGGCTCTTAGACATCTTAGGCCGTATAATCAATATCCAAAAGTCGTCCCTTGTACCTCAACAGACTATAGACTTTATAGGCGCTTGTCTCGATTCCGTTACAGCACGTGCTTACCTAACCATCTCCCACGGGGACACTACCCGAAGAAGAAGTAGTTACTCACCTTGTGCAGTAATGATGGTTCTTCGAGGTTTGTGTCCCTTTGGGTGTTCCATGACCCGCCCTCCTTCCCTCTTTGGAGTCTGTTATTTTGTCTTGTAGACCTCAACGATCAGGAGGAACTGGCGGGAGCCAGACCTTGCGACCAGAAACAGCGCAAAAAGCCGCAAGATAGCCGCCGCGCACGCACTGTCCGGCAAACAACAGCTGAAACATCTCCAAACTGCGACACCAGGATTAGCCCGACACCCACAGTGGAGCACCCACGGGGACACACACCTTGAAGAACCATCATTACTGCACAAGATGAGTAACTTCTTTTTCATGCAACACATGTTAACCTATGGAACCCCTCGCCAGAGGATGTTGTGAAGACCAGGACTTCAACAGGGTTCTAAAAAGGAATAGATAAATGCACAGGGGATAGCATATCAGTGCTTATTAGCCAGAATGGTAGAAATGTTGTCCCTAGCCTCTGTTTGTCAGAGGCTGGTAATGATGATTCCCTGTTTTGTTCATTCCCTCTGGGACACCTGGCCTTGGTCACTGTGTGAAGGCAGGATACTGGGTTAGATGGACCTTTTGTGTGATCCAGTATGGTCATTCTTATGTTCTTATCAAATGTAGACACATACCTTCTTGTCTGTGCAAAGACAGAGGTGCTTTTCATTTTGCTCCTGAAACAGAGACTGCAATTCAAATCTCTTTTTAATCACTAATCACTAAAAACCAGTTGAAATCCCTCAAAATATGTCTAGCACTACTCTTGTCAGCTTCCCACATAGCTATTGTTGACTGGTGATAATCCACATTAGATTTGAACTCCATGGAATACTACTGATCAATCTAGAAACATCATATGTTAATTCTGAACTAAACACCATCCTGAACATCAGTCACAGAAGAATCAATATCCCCGCAATGGCTTTCAGTCCTGGTACAAATCAACCCACTCCAAATTCATTGCTACATGAGGGAACAAAGATAAAATATATGAAAGTCCAACTCAAATCCAGAAAACTTTTTTTGGCTTGCAGTGCAAGAATTTGAGCCAGGTGAAAGAACACGAGTGTCCCATACAAAGATCTCATCAAAGAACCCAATGGCTTTTCACTCATATGGGGAAAATATGCTCTCTTTTGAACTGAATGTGTGCATCACATGGCAGATTTTCTTATGTTCTCCATAAATGGGGACTGATACGCAATTTTATTTGTGAATGCAGAAACAGCTTCAAACTATGGAACCCTTTGTCAACTCTTGTCCCACATTATCATATATCAGTGGTATTTCTTCCTTCTATTCTGCATCATCTGACGCAATCAACTGGATTGCTGGTTTAAATCTGGAAATCTAACAATGCTGTTTTAAACTGTATGAAAGAAGAAGTGTTTAACCACACTTCTGTATTGCAAGCAGGTTTTCTTTAGTAACTAGGAAAACTGGACTTTTCAGGAAGCAGGGCAGAAAAATAATTCCAGTAAGTTTTTAAAACCTTTTTAGAATAGCTCTTCTATAAAATAAAGTAGAAAAACCCACAACCATTCTCTCTACCTGTTGCTTCTCTCTATAACTCTCTCCAATCTTTCTGTCGCCTTTCATCTTTTTTTCCTTTGAGATTTTCAGTGTGTATTATGGCTTTTAGGACCTGCTCCCCAGCCAGCAAGATAGAGAGGAATAGGAAGTTCTACAAACTATTCATCATAGCTTTTTTTTATAAATCATGTCACAGATTTAAGGCCAATATCTCTTAAATAATTTTAACAGGAGTACAAAACAATATTCCATTGGCCATTAGTCTTGATGCTTCATTAGATATTGTACCTTAAATTATTGTTGTTCTATATCTGACTGTTGTTAGTACTGCATCTGAGATCTGATTTTGAGGGAAAATTACATATTTAGAGAGAAAGAGGTAAATAGTTTTGTGGCAGTTTGTTGTCTTTGTTTTAAAATATAAGTTGTTTGGAAGCTATTTAAAAGTCCTGGATCTTCTGGCAGGATTTCATTTTTTTAAATGCTAAATGACACAAAGTGAATTAATGCAAATTATTCACATTACTAGTTGAGTTTTTGTTGGTTTATTTGTTTGGGTTTTGGGGAGGTGGTTTTAAAATGTACTGTGAGAGATAACAAAGTATTTTTTCCTAGATAACATATATCATACAAAATGCTAATCATAGATCGCTTATCATCATTGATGAACTTGGCAGAGGAACCAGCACTGAAGAAGGTATTGGCATTTGTTATTCAGTGTGTGAATATCTACTGAGTGTAAAGGTATTTTTTAATATTCTAAAATAATTTGTCTCTAAAATTTGTAATTACTTTCTCTCACGGCCTTAAAATGGTACTAAATGAAAACATTTCCCCATATTCCAGTTTTCATTTTATGGGCAATTCTGATCTAGAAAATACTGATGCACATAGGGTACGGCTAGACTACAAATTGTTGTCGGAAAAAAGTATGCAAAATGAGCTGTGCATTTTGCGTATCATATTACGATTTTTTTATTGGAAGAAGCTTTTCTGACATTTGGCCCATGTAGACTGGGCTAAATGTTGGAAATAAACCCTCTTTCGGAAGCCCCCCTTTTCCCCGTAAAACAAGGAATACGGGGGCTTCCGAAAGAGCGCATTTGCTCTTCTGCCAAAAAAAAAAAAAAAAAAAGCGGAAGAGCAAAACTGTTTCCTGGATGCGGCAGAGTTTTTTGGGATACCGGGGTATCCGAACCCCCCCCCACAGTCTAGCCATACCCTTACTGAGATATATAGAGAGATAAGAGGCACATCAACAGATAAGAATATGGACAAAGATGCCATAGTTTCTGCTCCATTGGTTCTTATCTGACTCACCCAATCCCATTTCAACCATTCGATCATCCCGTGAACACACTCCTTCAAACTCTTGGCCCCATTCACATTTCTTCCATGTCTTTTTGTTGGCCAATATTTTGCCTTGGCTTTTACAGCTTTGTAATGAGTCTGCTAAGAATGAGACCAACAACACTATTCCTAAAGCAGTTGTATGGTAATTAGTTCTACGAGAATCCTGCAGTATTTGGTTAATGAAATAAACCTTCCTGTTTGACTTTCCATATTGATATCAAACTAATCCCTTCATGTGTTTTTTTAAAATTAGAGTTCATATACCTAAATCTCCAAAGGCTGCTCCCTTTTCAAAATCTATTGGGATCCTCCACCCCCTGAGCTTAAAGATGCCTAAACAGGATTCAGTGGCTTATCAAGAGCAATAGAAATGGCTTTTAGATGGGGAGGAAACTCCAATTTCCAACACTTGGGTGACAGGGAAGGAATCACGTGAGAATTACCTGTTGCGTTCCTTCCCTCTGGGGCATCTGGTATTGGTCACTATCAGCAGACAGGACACTGGACTCAATGGACCATGACCTAGTATGGCCGTTCTTATGTTCAATTACTTCCCAGCTATGTGATTAATTTCAGCATGTTGTCAGACATTTGCAGACCTGGACATAGGCTGGACTCTTACATAGGCTTATTTTGGAATACTTTTGCAGATTGGTTTGAAATGTTCAAATATTCTCATAGTTCTAGTTGAAGGACAGTGTATATTAGAATGTTCAGACAATTTTTGTGAAAATTCTTGACACTCATTTTGGTAAAATTGCATGAGTTAGGAAACTCTTTGTCAGTGGCTACTTTTATGTCTTCCATTGGGAAACAAGCCAAGTTGGTAAAGATCTTTTAGGTCATCCAGTTGATCTCCCTGCCAATGAAGAATTATGTTCTAACTGCATGTTTATGAGTTTTTCCTGGTTTAAAATATTTATTGAGACTTGTTTCCCTGAGATTATTCCATAGTCTAATAGATCTCACAAAGTTTTTTCTGTTATAAATGGTCCATTTTTGTTATATCATTAGGTTGACTGACTTTAGTCTATTCAGTAGATTTTATTACTTAATTTAAAAATGAAAGGGCCCATTTAATATATTTTTGTTTGAAACTGCTTTAAAACTTTGTGTAATTGGAACTTTATTTACTATTTTGATCTAATCATGCCCTTGTGTACAGTACTAAAGAAGTATACCTCTTCATTCAGTTTAATATTTTTAGTAATTTCTAGGCTTTTTCAGAGCAAGGCATGCAAGTCATTACTGAAAGTCATATTGCTAAATGCTTGTATATATTGAAAAAATATATATTAACCTTATTTTGCTTAATTATAATGAATTATGAAGGGTTACTAAATATGTTACATTTCTGTTTCTGTTGCTTAATTTAGGCATTTACCCTGTTTGCTACACATTTCCTAGAACTGTGTCACATAGATGCTATATATCCCAACGTGGAAAATTATCATTTTGAAGTACAACATGTGAGAAACAGTGCTGGAAATAAGGAAAATATAACTTATACTTACATACTTTCTAAAGGACACACAGAGGAAAAAAACTATGGTAATGGAGTACAATATTGATATTAATAACTTATTAAAATACATAAGATATATTAAATTATTAGTCTAACATTCCCTCTGTCCTCTGACAGATCACTCCATGCCACAAATATTTTTTAGAGTTCACTACAGGTTAAAATACTGTTCCAGCTATTTTTGTATTTTAAATAGTTGTGTAATAAGGTAGTATTTTGTGTCCCCAGTATGCAGAACTTAGTTGTCTAATAAGTCATCTTCCTGCTGTTGGACTTCACCTGGAATCTTCAACTGGTTGAGAACACAGTAACCTGAGATGAGTCACTTTGAGCACATAATAGCAATAGTCAAGTGCTCTGCATTGGTTTCCTGTTTGATTGTGGGAGCAATGCAAGGTACAGTGTGATAGCCTTGAATGCGCAGGCATCCATTTATCTGAGAGCTGTCTCTTTTGTCTTTGTTCATATATGATGAAATGAAAGAGTTACCTAAAAGCTCTACCAATTTAGCTCATCCTAAAGTAATGAACTTTTATTAAAAATGACAAATTAATGTTCATAGATGTGTAACTCAGTTTGTTACTACAGAGGTGATTTTTATATTTTGAAATGTCAAAACAGCGTTCTTGGGATAGCAGGTTCATTTAACCTTTAAATTTAATATAAACTATAGTGAAGCAGACTATGTATCAGATTAAAACATTTTATTTATGTCTCATTGTCATCCATTAATTTCTTTATAGATCAGTGATTCTTCAAGAAGTGACAAGCACCTATGTAATGTTTCTGAGGGCCAGACTACACTGCCCCTTATGTTGATATAACTTACATCACTCAGTGATGTGAAAAAGCCACCTCCCTGAGTCATGCAAATTACACCACCCTAAATGTTGGTGTGGACAGTGCTATGTTGTTGGGATCTTCTGCCAATGTAGTTACTACCTCTTCTGGAGGTGGACTAGTTATGCCAACAGGAGAGTTCTCTCCTGTTAGCAGGGGGTCTTCACCAGATGTGCTACAGTGGTGCAGCTGCATTGATGTAGCCAGTGTGGTGCTTTATAGAGTAGACTAGCTCTGAACACTATATTCTGTAGTCAGATCCCTGATTTCGCTGACAGGTATTCAATAGGGAGTTGTCTCACAACATGATTTTTAAAAGTCTCAAATAGCTGAAGACTATAAATCACTATTATAAGTTAAAGTTAGGATTAATTTAATATGAAGTATTCCTTCTATGCCTTTATCAAAATTATACTGCTAATTTGCTCACATTTGGTACATAAGGCCAGTTTTGGGGACTTTTGAGAAGATGAATTCTGACGAATTATACATAGATTCATAGGACTGGAAAGGACTTCCAGAGGTCTTCTAGTCCAGTCTACACACTCAAGGCAGGACTAAGTATTATTTAGACTATCCATGACAGGTGATTTTGTAACTTGCTCTTAAAAATCTCCACAACCTTCGTAGCTAATTTATTCCAGTGTTTAACTTTTCAGTGTCTTTGAGGCAGGGGTTGGCAATAATTTCTGTGGGGGGCGGGGGGGGTCCAAGAATTTGGTAACTAGTCAAGGGTCACAATTTTCTATGATATTATGGAGGGGGTATGGGATCTGGGATGGAGTTTGGATGCAGAAAGGAGGTTTTGGTAGGAGAGGAAGTTTTGATGACCTGGGGCAGGGATGGAGGAGGGGGTGCAGAGTGTTTGGATTGTGACTTGGGGCAGGAGGGGATTATGACCAAGGGTATGTCTACCACACCCCCCGAGGGTTTTAAGTCGTGAGTGTTGTTCCATTCTGCAACCTCTGTTCCTAGTGATCTTTGTTACAGTCCAAACCAGCTTTCTGTGGTCTCCTTGACTTTCCCAAAACACACCAGCTAGACTCTGTTGTTCTTTTTGCTTTCCTTCGTGCTGGCCTTCGCTTTTCTTGCTTGTTATGGGCTGGCTCTGCAGATTTGTTCTGTTGAATCTGTCTTTCTTATGGCTGGCCAGTGGATACCCAGCCCCCCTCTTTCTTGGCTGGCAGCCAAGAGTCAGATGTGTGCTGTGGCCTTGAGCTGGCTAGAGCCAGCATCTTATCTTCAGGCCTAGCAGAAGTGGAGTTAACCCGTTCTCTGCTCTCTTTGTCCCCTCCCCCCCATCCCGTTTTGGCCTCTTGCGACCTGTAAGGGAATCCTTCATCCATTCCACACACACACCTTTGACCCTTCCCAAAATGCCCTGCAATATTTGCAATAGCGTTAGCAACATTCAATGCTGACCTGCCTCCCCAGGGGGACCCCTTGAGGGAGAAGGCCATTGGGGTGTGACACCTGCACCTGACACCATATATTCTCCATCATCCCAACTACCTGCCCTAGGGGTATGTCTACACTACCCCGCTAGTTCGAACTAGCGGGGTAGTGTAGACATACCCCTAGGGCAGGTAGTTGGGATGATGGAGAATATATGGTGTCAGGTGCAGGTGTCACACCCCAATGGCCTTCTCCCTCAAGGGGTCCCCCTGGGGAGGCAGGTCAGCATTGAATGTTGCTAACGCTATTGCAAATATTGCAGGGCATTTTGGGAAGGGTCAAAGGTGTGTGTGTGGAATGGATGAAGGATTCCCTTACAGGTCGCAAGAGGCCAAAACGGGATGGGGGGGAGGGGACAAAGAGAGCAGAGAACGGGTTAACTCCACTTCTGCTAGGCCTGAAGATAAGATGCTGGCTCTAGCCAGCTCAAGGCCACAGCACACATCTGACTCTTGGCTGCCAGCCAAGAAAGAGGGGGGCTGGGTATCCACTGGCCAGCCATAAGAAAGACAGATTCAACAGAACAAATCTGCAGAGCCAGCCCATAACAAGCAAGAAAAGCGAAGGCCAGCACGAAGGAAAGCAAAAAGAACAACAGAGTCTAGCTGGTGTGTTTTGGGAAAGTCAAGGAGACCACAGAAAGCTGGTTTGGACTGTAACAAAGATCACTAGGAACAGAGGTTGCAGAATGGAACAACACTCACGACTTAAAACCCTCCTGAGAGCTGGAGCAATTCGGAGAGATCTCAGTGGACCCTGGACGACCTGTGCGCACAGGACCGAACTCCCGTCCACCCTTCCCACCCTTCTTTCATTACACTCAGGCCTGGCCAGCCTCCGGTAGTGAGTGTGTGAGTATGAAAGTGGGTTAGGGCTCTGGGCACTAACGCTGTCTTCCTTCCTCTGAGTGACGTGGAAAGCACCCATCACTCTCCGTTGTTATTCTATTATTTTATCAATAAAGCTTTAAAACTTAGACACGTGGTGTGTTCCGTCATCTCCTCCTTTAATGATCCTGTGGCCTCAGCCTGATCATCTGACTCCTTAGGCAGATTGGTAATAAAAATCTTTCACACAGGCTCTGGCTAGGAGGCACTTACCCTAGGCAGCTCCCGCCAGCAGCTCAACGGGATCCTCAGGCAGGCTCCTTGCACGCTGCTTAAAGTGGCTAGTTGCTGGGGCTAGCGTGTGCGTCTTTGCTTTGGTGTGCAGCATGGGAGGGGTACCATGAGGTGTTTGTGCCCACAAGCATGGCCCAGGCAGCTCCCACTGCTTGGTTTCTGGCCAATGATAGTTGCAAGAATTGTGTTGGGGGCAGGAGCCATATGTAGAGACATCCTCTTTGCCAAAAAGGTGTGCACCATACAGAGATGCACAGACTGGCCCCAGCAACTGGTCACTTTGAGCTGTCTGTAGGTGTGCAGCAGGAAGAGAGTATGCCTGCTGGCCCATGAGATGTTAGTAGTCCGGAGGATTATGGCGGGCCAGAGCTGCAAATTTGGCAGGTTGCATTTTACCTGCCCGTGCTTTAAGACTTTGTCTACACTGGCAATCAAGTGACACAGCTTTTGTCATTCAAAGGTCTTAAAAAAGCCACGAAGAACTACAAAACCACCTCTGCTGTGGCAAGTAGAGTAAAACCTGAAACAATCCACCATCCAATTGGCAAGATCCTAGTGAGCGAGCTTCAGCAAAAAGCAAGTCGCAAGGCAGCAGCTGAACCGAGCAAAACTGGACAGGACCAAGTCAGTCTGCCTCTGGCATTGTGTAACGCTGGACAGAGCTTGTGCTACAATAAAAAGGGTTAAAAACACTTTATATACAGTATATACTGTATGGCTACATCTACACTGGCCCCATAAAACGGAATAGTCATGCAAAGCAGGTAAGTCAGAATAGGGAAATCCGCGGGGGATTTAAATATCCCCCGCGGATTTAAATAAACATGTCCGCCGCTTTTTTTCCGGCTTGGGGAAAAGCCGGAAAAAAGCGTCTAGACTGGCGCGATCCTCCGGAATAAAGCCCTTTTCCGGAGGATCTCTTATTCCTACTTTCATACTTCTTTGAGGAGTATTGCTGTGAGTGCTCCACCACACATGTCTTGAGGCCTTGTGCTTCTAGCAGGAGACTTTAGGTATCAGTGCCCTGGCTGGCTGTGCATTCATGGAGGCTATCTCATGCAGCTTCAAAGGTCTACCCATGGTGTGCCACCAACTCCTCCACTGTCTTTGGCTCAAGTCAGAGTGACAGCAGTTTCTCAACTTCCCAAACTACTACTTTATCTTTCTTTTAATTTCTTTTAATTTTCCATTTTCCTCTACTGGGGAGATTTTCTTTTTTGTCTTTCCACACCCCCCAAAAAAGTTATTTTGTTATCCCTCAGCCACCAGTGCATTGCCAATCACTTACATGTTGGCTATTGACAATGGGCTGTCCTGTTGTTCCTATGCATTTCTGTAGCACAGCTCTGAGCTAAAAATTAATGGAGATTGCCTATCTCCTAGAACTGGAAGGGACCTTGAAAGGTCATTGAGTCCAGTCCCCTGCCTTCACAGCAGGACCAAGTACCATCCCTGACAAATTTTTGCCCCAAATGGCCTCCGCAAGGATTGAACTCACAACTCTGGGTTTAGCAGGCCAATGCTGAAACAACTCAGCTATCCCTCCCCCCAAATAAAATGTTAAGTTCATTTGGATTTAAATACTCCCTCTCCTGCCAGTTATCCCTACT